ACCTTTTCCTTCTTTCTTGTCTTCTTAATGACTTTTTGCTCTCTTAATGTATGATGTTCTTGATGTCATCCCACAACTCTTCTGGTTTTCAGTCTTTAGTGTTCAATGTATCAAATCAATTCTTCAAATGATCTCTAAATTTAGGGAGGATATATTCACGTTCATATTTTGGCTCTCATGGACTTATTTTAATTTTCTTCAGCTTCAGTTTGAATTTGCATAAGGTTAATTGATGGACTGTTCCACAGTCTGCCCCTGGCCTTCGTTTCACTGATGATATTTCAAGAGTTAGCATATGATAAACAGCCAATGATACTGAAGGAAGTAGTCAAGGGTGCATTGAAGATATTGGCAAAGAACAGGGAACCAGGAACTGAGGGAATACAAATTGAAATCTTTAAGCAAACAGATGCATTACTGTAGGCACTCATATATACCAATAAATATGGAAGACAGCTCCCTGAACAACTGATTGGAAGAGATCCACATTTGTGCCCATTCCAAAGAAAGGTGACCTAATAGAATCGGAACTCGTTGGACAATATTATTAATATAGCATGCAAGTAAACTTTTGCTAAAGATAATTCCAAAATAGCTGCAGTAGTACATTGACAGGGGGCTGTCTGAAGTCCAGGCCATATTCAGATGGGCACATCAAACAAGGGACATTATGGCTGACATCAGATGGATATTGGCTGAAAGCACAGAACACCAGAAATATATTTACATGGGTTTTATTGACTGATATATGCTTTACTGACTACATGAATGCTTTTGATTGTGTGGATCATGACAACTTATGGCAAGAACGAAATTTCCTAAAGCACATAATTGTGCTCATGAGGAATCTCAAGGGAACACTGAATGGTTTAAAGTCTGTAAAAGTATATGCTAGGGTTTTATTCTTTCACCATAGTTATTCAATCTGTATGCTGAGTAAATAATTCAAGAAACCGAATTATATGAAAAAGAATGTGGTATCAGGATGGGAGGAAGACGCAACAACCTACGATTTGCAAATAATACAACCTTGCTTGCTGAAAACAGTGAGGACTTAAAATACTTTCTGTTGAAGATCAAAGACCACAGTCTTCGGTATAGATTGTTCCTCAATATAAAGAAAATAAAAAATCAGTTTCCTCACAAATGGACCAGTAAATGTCATCATGATAAATGGAGAAAAGATTGAAGTTATCAAAGCCTTCATTTTTCTCAGATTAACCATCAACACTCATAGACGCAGCAGTCAAGAAATAAAACAACATATTGTATTAGACAAATCTGCTGCACAAGACCTCTTTAAAGTGTTCAAGAGTAAAGATGTGAGTTTAAGGACTAATGTGTGTTTGATGCATACCAGGGATTTTCAATAGTCTCATTTGAAAATGTAAGTTGAACAGTGAATAAGAAAGACTGTAGAAGAATTGATACATTTGAGTTATAATATTAGTGGAGAATATTAAACATTCCACGGACTTCCAGAAGAATAAACTAATCTGTGTTGGAATAAGTACCACCAGAATGCTCGTTAGAAGCCAGAATAGCTAGACTTCATCTCTAATGCCTCAGACATATTATCAGGAGGGACCAGTCCCTGTATAATAACACCATGATTGATAAAGTGGAAGGTCAGAGAAAGAGTAGAAGACGCCCCAAAAGATGGATTGAAACAGTGGCAGTGGTAATGGGCTCAAGGATAGCAAATATCGTGATATTGAGGCAGGATCTGGCAGTATTTCATCTGTCGTGCATAAAATTGCTATGGGTTGGCACGGATTTGATGGCATTTAGCAACAATAATGAGTTGGAATCAATGCAATGGCACTTAAGAACACAACAACAACAATAACATATAGAAAAATAAAGGGCTATCAGAGAATCCTCTATTGGATCTCTACCTATCAATGTTGGTTTGACTCACATTTCTGGATTCAGAGCTCAAAGATCTTATCCCTCATCAATTGATTTCTACCAGGAGTTCGCCAGGAGACTTCACATGTGTAATGACGCTAGTCATCCATCTCAAGGATAATCCATGGAGGGACAAATATCCTGGTACCTCATGATTCATTTTCAGGAAGTCATATTACCTTTCCTGCTCAATATGGTATCCAGAGGAAACGTAATATGGTGATTGGATCTGAGCTCCATTCTACCAGCCACTTCACCAAGACTGGTGTGGCCTTGCAGGAGTGCAGGGAATATTTATATTCAATTTCCAGTGCCCTGTGTACTCTCTGGAGCTTCAAGGATGAGACAGTCTAAACAGAAGCTGAGAGGATGGAAGTAGATATAGATGGCACACACCTACCTAGGAGCTAGAGTAAAATGACAGATCTCCAGTGGCTTCTGAGAAAACACCCTTCAACTTATTATTTTTTTTTTTTAAGTTTTTATTGTGAATTATGTGATAGTTTACATGGGAAAACAGCAGTTTTACATTCATCCTATCATATATTGTTTCATTGCCATGATTACAATCCCCTCTGTTGTTGTTGTTGTTGTTAAGTGCCGTCGAGTTGGTTCCGACCGATAGCGACCCTGTACAGGGTTTCCGAGGGTGTAAATCCTTACGGGAGTAGAAAGCCTCATCTTTCTCCCGCAGAGCGGCTGGTAGTTTCAAACCGCTGACCTTAAGGTTCACGGCCCGATTCGTAACCACTACGCTACCAGAGCTCCTCTAAGCATCATCAAACAACCAAAGTATATACGCTGCAAGCCTGCCCCTTGGTCGTCAGCACACAGCCCCCTCCCTCTCCGTGTCTAGAGCCCCAAGCCCCTCCATCTCTCTACGTCATCATCTCTGCCTCCATCTCTGGTGTCACTGTTTGTCTGGGTAGGGTCCCACATTCTGCTCTTTTCTGATCCTGGACTGCAAAGTCAACCACTCCCCTACTTTTTCTACAAAACGTTTACCTTTGCATTTCCAACCCTCACAGTCAGTCCTGATAGCAATTACTCACTATTATACCACAAGAGTCCTATCTCCATCACCTTTCATCAGCCCCACCCAGACAGATTAGATACTACTCAGTGGAGAGTCTACCTTCCTGTGCACCTATGTATCTAGTCTTGTAAGCCAGTCACTTCTTGCCTTTGTACCCCTTCCCATTTTAGGTTGCCAATGTCCAAGTTTCCCATCCCTATCTACCCTGTGTACCAAGGGGGTGGGAATGATCCTCACTGTAAAGATTTGTTCCTCTTTTGAGCTATTGCATCCATAGGTATAAGTCAAGTTCATCAAATTGTATCAGATTACTCTTTCCCCCTCCTCTTCTTTCTTCACAGGGTAGCCTTGGGTCTACCCTAAGGTCCAGGACATCAGTTTCCCGCACTTGCAAGTGAAAAAAATCATGATATAAAGGAAAATAGTGCAAGTTAGGAATCTCTGGACATGGGACTCCCTCTGTGGCCACCCCTCCCAGGCAGAGTTCAGAGGTCAGGGCTACAACCAGACTGACACAGGGAACCGATGCTAAAAGTAGTAAAGAGACATTTGCAAAAAGAGGTGCAGTAGATTCTACACATTTTTTCCTCTTCTTCCCTGTTGCGCATTCTTTGCCCAGCAAGGATGCCTTCAGGTGGTTGGATGTGCACCACCCCCTTAAAAAAAAAAAGTCCAGCGCTGACCCCACAGTTTTCCCACGGTACAGAAAGAATGAGCTTGAGGGCTACTTATGACATCAGCCTCAGGGTCGCAGCCTTAAAATTGACTTGTGTGGGACCCTTGGTGGCTGTGAGCTGTGGAGTCAGTTCCGACTTGTGGTGACCCTGTGCAGGGTTTCTGAAGCAGTGGGTCTTTGCAGGAGAAGAGCACATTGTCTTTCTCCAGTGGAACAGCTGATAGTTTCAAACTGTTAACCTTGCAATTTGTAGCCTGATTCATGAACAATGCACTACCAGAGCTCCTTGTGCAGGACCCTTACCAAAACTATATAGCAAGAAGAAAGCAGGCATGTCAGGCCTGACAGAAAAACCATAAAACAATCTGTAAAACCCCAACATAAAAGGACACAACTACCTGAAGAATTACACTGTGCACACACAGATACCTAACTGACCTTCAGAGACAAAAATAGTGGACAGTCTTTCTCCCATTAATTTCTCAATATCCATCCATACACCTCCACGGTGGTGACTAGAGGAGGAGCCTGAGTGAGCAGACACCTCCACCCACTACTGGATGCTTCAATCATGCACACACACTGCCTGTGGACACTTGGCCAGTTATATTTTTGTTTCAAAGTGGTGGTTTTTGTCTCTGCTTTTATATTGCTTCTGCTATTGGTCCTTTTGATCACACAGCATTCATAGAGGTGGGAGCTTCTTCTCCCTACGTTACCAAAGAAGAGACAGTAATTGTGGCCATATAACCAAGCTACAAGCATACCCCATAATATTCCATCATTGATACAAGACCCAATAACAGCTGCTAAGCATTGCATGTGTAAAGGGAAGCCTAGATCCTGATCATATCCACAAGGAGACACCAAGAAAGCTTAATAACACAACAACAAACATCAATTTAAGCATTAAAAAAATCATAACTATTGGAAATGACAAACAAACCAAACAATCTGAAAACATGTCCAAAAACAGAAAAGAGTAACTGAGACAAATGCGCTGGATATAGACAAAGGCTCCCCAGAAGAAGAAGAGCAGGTTTTGGATTTGCCTGAGAAAGAATTCAGAAGAATGATATGGGAAAAAATTCAAATGCTCTGAAAAGGGGTGGAGGAAAACAAAGAAGTCATGAAAGTACTACAAGAGCAATCAAACAAGATTGATACAGCAATGAAAACAATTCAAAACCTGCAAAAAGAGGTCCAGATGATTCATGATAAGAGATCAGAAATGGAAAATACACTGAAAGGGGAAAGAAGCAGAATAGAAGAGATGAAAACCAGAACTAGTGATCTGGAAGACAAATCTCTCAATACTGCTAAGATAGAAGAGCAAGCTTAATAAAGGATAAAAAACTCTGAAGAAAGTCTAAGATTCATGCTGGATAACATGAAGAGGAACATTGGCATTCCAGGACAGGAAGAATCAGAGAAGTCCACAGAGGAGATAGTTGAAGAGCTTCTGGAAGAAAATTTCCCTAACATCTTGAAAGATGAGAAGATAAATATTCAAGAAGCTTAAAATACTCCAGGAAGGATAAATCCCAAGAGAAAGTCACTAAGCCATATAATAGTAAAGTTCTCTGAAATCAAATACAAGGAGAGAATTCTAAAGCAGCCAGGGAAAAGAGAAGTGTCACTTACAAAGGCAAGCAAATCAGATTAAGCTCTGATTGTTCAGCACAAACCATGCAGGCAAGAAGGCAATGGGGAGACATATACAGCATCCTAAAAGAAAAAAATGCTAACCAAGAATCATATATCCAGCAAAACTATCAATCAATTACGCTGGTGCAATCAAAACATTCCAGTATAAACAGAATATAAGAGATTTTATCAAGACCAATCTAGCACTTCAAAACAGCACACTCAACCAACTTCAACTCATAGACGTGTACAGAGCATTCAACCAAACAACAACAGAACATACTTTCTTATCCAGTGCACATGGAACATTCTCCCAAACTGACCATGTGTTAGGTCACAAAGCAAGCCTCCACAAATTTAAAAACATCCAAATACTGCAGAGCATCTTTTCAGACCACAATGCTATAAAACTAGAAATCAACAACAAGAAGTCTAAGGAAATAAAATTGAATACATGAAAACTGAACAACACCCTGCTGAAAAGTGACTGGGTAAAAGAAAAAATTAAATGTGAATTTATAAAGCTCCTAGAAACAAACGAGAATGAAAACACAATATACTAAAAATTTTGGGACATAACAAAAGTGGTGCTGAGAGTACTAACTTATTGTGATAAGTGCACACATTAAAAAAGAAGATTGGGGTTTTAGAAGAGGTGGAGGGAGGTGACGGTAGAGCACAGGTTAGGGGGCAGACACATCATAAATCAGGTATTGGGGAGAGCAATACACAAGAAGAGAGAGGGATTGGAAGACCAAGCTAGATAGGCAAACACTGAGATAGGCTTGCATGGGGTAAATAGTGATGTATGCTCAACCTTAGAACAACAAGGTTCTATGATATAGGGATCGTGGCATAGTCTGAAGAGAGGAAATAATACTAAAATGCCTGACTCTCTTATGAATATTGGTTTCCCTTGCCTACTATTGTAAAATAGACACTTGAGTGGGATAGAAAGTAATGTCATGAAACATGATTATAAAAAGCTTGTAAGTCCGTCTTCAGCCTATGACTGATTGGAATACCTACAAGGGGTTCTACAATTTTCCCAATGAACTAGGCCTCTTGTGGAGCCTTTGCAGTGTATAGGACCTTAGGTGGAATCCTGACCCTCATCCATAACCTTCTGAGGTGGGACATTCCCTCTAGAAGAATAAGCAGACCCTCCTGGAACAGATAGAGTGACAGACGATATGTCGTCAAAGAAAGATCATCAGGAAAAAAACCCCAAAAAACAAAAAATGGCAGTGTGATTGGCTACTATAAGAATAAGCCAGTTGTTCACCAGGAAGCCATAAAGGCAATCAATCAAGTCCCTTCAGGACAAACACCTGTCTAAGACTGAAATTCAAAGTGAACACATGACCAGGTATACAAGCTTGCTGGCAACTGCATTGGTCTACTGGTGAGTGGAAGAGGGGGAAAGGCAGCAATGAAGAAATGTGCTTAATTCAACCATGTTCCATACACTCCTGTTGATCTGGAGATGAGAGAGAATAGAGGAAGGTCTGGTTGGTCCAAAGTGTGGTGAGACCTGAGGACACCTGAGTCCATGGACAAAGACTTAGCTACAGAGGGCTGTTGCTGAGAGTGAAACATCCAGCTGATATGAAGTAAGGGGAAATGCACAAGAACACCTGAACTTGCAGAAAGTATCCGTTTGACCTAGCCTCGATGGCTTGATAATCAAAACTCGACTAGAGGAAGATTTAAAAACAACAACACACTTTTTTTATCAAGAAAACGAGGGTAAATTGCTACAATTTGATGAGCTGGATCTATATTCATGGAGGTTGTAGCTCAAAATACCAACAGAGAGGGAACCAGTATTCACATCAAGTATTAATGTTATCCCCTATGTACACTGGGTAGATAGGGATGGCAACTTAGACATTGGCTACCTAAAATGAGGGGGCAATAAAGGCATGAAGTGACTGTCTTACAAGGTTTCAAGAGGGAGTTCAGTTTAAGAGCGTGTATGGGAAGATAGAGTCCCCACTGAATATTTTTCATCTTGTCTAGATGGGTCTGGTAAAAAGAGATGGGGATAAGATTCTAATGATTCAATAGTGAGTAATTGCTATCATGACTAATAGCGACTGTAACAATTGTAAAGGTAGAAGTTTTGTAACAAAAACTGGGGAGTAGTTAATCTTACAGTCCAGAAACAGAGGCCCCTACGACCATCAGGGGAGAAGAGCACAAGCGGAATGAAGGACTTTATCCAGAGAAGTAGCAATACCAGAAATGGAGGCAGAGATGGGGACATGGAGAGAGGGAGCAGCTGAGGACTCCAGATTCATGGAAAAAGAGGGACTGAGAGCTAGTAGCCAGGAGGCAAACTTGCAGAATGTGTCCTGTGGTGGTGTAAATGATTACATATACCTGAGCATTTATATATTTTAAAAAGAGCTATTTATATATTTTAAAAAGAGAGAATTACTGTTAACTGATGGCAATCATTGTAATGAAACAAAATATATGATTTGTTGAATGTAAAACTGATGATCTACCCTGTAAACTTTCAC